TACAAATTAAAAAAACCCTTCCAAAAAAAAAAAAAAAACACACGGCAGCATACATAATTAATAATAACATGGAGCCCTCTCACTCTCTATAAATAGGATGGGTCAGGAAGGGGTGTAGACAAGTTGCTTGCAAGCTTTTACCTCTCTCAAACTTGTCAAGCTGACTTCCTACCTTAGTTGCTAGGTGTGCTCTCTCCCTTAATTAATTTGTTTCTGCACTGTTCGGCTACTTATTATGGCCCAAAACAAACTATTCTCTGCCGTTTTCATCTTCATTGCCCTGATATTAATCTTTCAAGAAATTCAGTATGTTAATGCGCGGCATTTGAAGTTAGAGAAACTCAATACCTACAAACAATTCCTTGTAAAGGAAGCAGCAATGGCAGTTGAGGGCAGAAGTAGCTTGCATGCTACTGTCATTGAAGTATCAGATGTTGACGTGCTGTCTCCACCAGACGCACCATTGGCACCAGGTGCTGTTGCTGGAGCTTCACAGGCTCCACCACCCCGCCATGCTGATGACTTCAGGCCTACCGCGCCTGGTCACAGCCCTGGTATTGGACATTCCCTTCATAACTAGTGCAGTAAAGTGCATGGCTTTTGCAAATGTATTTCATTGGCTTATTTCGTTGTCCTATGCTTAAAATAGTAGTTTGAATGAATACCAACCTTAGCCATGCAACTATTAGATCAATATCCTATTTAGGTTCCCCATTGTTGTGATGTGTAATTTTAGTTCTGTGATCATCATGTATTGTTTGCTCTTTGCACAATTGTGTATTAGTTATGTGTTCATGCGATTACTAAATGTAATATTGCTTCTATTAATTAGTTCCGTCTAATTCTGGCTTGACTAGAATTATTTAATATTATTGTGAAATTAATCATTAAAAAAAATAACTATCCTTACACCATCTGACCAAGGTCTGAATGCGTGTTAGAGTGCCTGCTCTAACAGTATGAACATGATCATCTTCACATTTTGCATACCTCTATGTTTTTTCGAAACCTAGCCAGCTAGCTATACATAATTACTCGCACTCCAAGGAAATATTAATAAGTACATGTACATCAAACCTAGTCTTTTTTTTTTTTTTTGAATAGTTTACAATTTGAGGAAGGATGATTTTTCTAAGACATTGGTAGAATTGAAAACCGCAACCAACTAACTCGAATATTTTAAGATTTATATGGTGAACTACTTGTAGTCAAAGGTCCAATTCAAACCTAGTAACTATATGAGTGTTAACTAGTTCAAGAATATTAAACCAATTGATAAAAATTGGTTTTGGCACGTATTTGGCAAATTCAATTAGGTTCAAGTGTAACAAATAAAAAATTGTATTATAATATAAATGATATTAAATTATAAAATAATTATTTTTATAGTGTGAAAAATCTTTTGATATTAAACTCTTTTTTTATCTAAAAATTTTAAATTTATAATTTAATATAATAAAATCTAAAAAGTTCGGACATCATGGCGTCAAAATGTCCAATCACAGTCATCGTTAAGTGGATTTCAGTTAATGACACACTTAATGAATAAATATGATGTATATCTTGATGTCAAAACGTTTTAATTTTTACTTTTTGGTTTAATACAATATAAATTATAATTCAAAAAATTCCGTAACAAATTAAAATCTAGGCATATACCTAGCTAGAGTTTGACATGTGCTGGTCCTTTATATAAATGTTAAGCTAATTACTTTCAACTGGAAGTCACTTTGAACCATTACCTATTCTCAAAAAAGAAAAAAAGGAAGTCACTTTGAAATTTTCTTGAATATAGTGAGAAAAAGCCTCTAAAATGCGTACTCTAGCTAAGTCCTATGTTCACACCTTTCAGACTTTCAGTACTGCACAAAGTGTAGCACATGGCAAGTGGCTACAGTGAAGTCTTAACCTAGACGACTCTGATCCTTTCATTCGTCCATTAATCAAATAATGCAGCGCCGTAAATTTCTTAATTTTAATTCTCGCAGTCACATTGAGAAAAGGCCAGTTTGTGGAGGCATAAAAATCAACAAACCAACAAGTAACAACACGCCCATGCTCTACCGCCTTGCTCACGCCACACACGGACAAGAACTTACTGTCTTTTTCCACATGATTAATTAAGACTAATTAATTGTGGTTACAATAGTAAGGTGCATCTTATAGTATTGATATTACTGTTTTTTAAATTCTTGTTATAAAATTTTTTTTTCTTCAATTTCTTCTTGTTAAAAAAAGTACTAATTAATTACCTTAATATTTTTTTTGTTTAATTGACTTTTTTTTCTGAAAATAGGCAATGGATTGTTTAATTAACTCAGTCAGTGGAGGCTGTGGACTTCCCCAGATTCTGGAACCAACAGCAGATTCTTTTTTAAACTGCAAGAAACATTTTTGTCCTTAGAAAGATTCCACCACTTTAGTTGGAGAGGGGTGAGATGGGGCCGGGATGAGGCACGGCACCATGAAGCGCTCGACATCATAATTTGCTTGGTTTGACCTAATCAATGATAGCAAGGACAAAGATAAAGATTAATATTATTATTACATCTTTAATTATTAACATTATTTTTTATTTTTTATTATTTTTTAAATTTATTTAAAAAATAAAAAAATAAAAAATTTCAAAAAATATATATAATACAAAGATATAATAATTAATTAAAATAAAAAAATTAACATTTATTATTAAAAGTATAACAATAAACCCACTCGTTTAATCTGTTGAGTATCAAAAGTAAAAGGAAAAAGGGCGTTAGATTTGGTGTTTAGGGATGACAAAAATTAGTGGTATGCATGTGTGCATTTGACTCGACCTTTCACTCTTGAACTATAATAAATGTTTTAAATTAATTATATGATATGCTGACCCGAATATCCATTGGCACAAAATTTGTATCTCTTTCAAAACCATTATTGGCAGAGTGAGAGAGGAAGAACAGGAAATATTATTATGACGATCACTTTAGATGTATGGTATAATGTGAGAATGAGGCGGCCGCTGGGACCTGGCCAGTAAAGCTGGGGCGGCGCACCCACGTCTGATGTTTATAGGTGGTTATTTTATTTCTTTTTATTTGGGTTGAACGATGCAAACTCATGTCTTAGAGTAGATGTCTGCTTCAAGAGAAGTGAGGTTAATT